TGATGCAGAGTCATGACCGCGTAATTGGTTTTAAATACACCAATGTTGATGTGCAAAATGTGAACAGTCAACTTCTGGTCAAGAAACATTTATTTAGAAATCCAGCGATCCATGTATTAGCACATTTCTGAATTCATGCCAAAAAGCATGCTTTAATGAAACATAATGTGTAACTAGCAGAGGTAATATATCAATTCACAGTAATGTGAGAAAAATATATACAGACATTAACAGGACATGGACAGGAATAATAACATGATTACATGTGTATTCAGTTCACGAACGGATTAAAAAGTGTATATAACATGAGATAGTTTTCATTATGGAACTATTAGTATGACAGCAGTACTAGTCGACAAACAGTAAAAAATACATATACATTTTTGAATTTGCAAAAGTAAAATTGTATTATGACAATTATTAATAGAACAAAATTAACAAGTGAAACGTGTCTTTATCTATGTGCATTTTAGCCTGAACCTCATATTATTTTGTAATTTGTGTTGTCTATCACGAGTCATCTGGACACAGTTATGTTCAATGCGAATACTTGCAACCAGGAGATAATCATCAAACAACACAACTATATCGGTTGGTCTGACCGTAGTCGCTGCCACACTGTGAACGTAGCTATAGCGCTGATTACTTGAATTTCTTCCGGCATTCAAGGATTTGTTAACGTCGTATACCGATGTTTAGTGCTTATATTTATTTCATCAAGGTATTACTCGTTGTGTACCGTACATACATACATGTGTTTGCATTAAATTGTTCATTTAACCGGAAATATGTTGTTATATTGCGTTTTATTTAGGTTAGATCCGGGTCTGATTGACCCCTAGTGTAGTGTGCGCGTCGTGTATACACATTGGGGCTTCTGAAACAGTGGTCCATAGCGAGTTGATACCTACACAAATCTTAAATGTGACAGTAATTTCGAGAGGGATTATGGAATACAAATACATATGAACCACTGGAAGTGTGATGAAACAGCTACTTGGGAATGGAGAACATTATCGATGTTGTCATTGAAAACTTTGGAAGGATCGATTTTGCGATGCAGTCTTTTACACAATGTTTGTTTGTATAACAATACAAATATTGACCCCGGCCTCGGTCGGTATTATCGACCTTGGCCCGGGTCAATGTTTCTATAGTATCTGGCCTTCTCAGAACTAATCATTTTCATAAATTGCTTCTTCGCTGTATAGACGTTTACTTTGCAACCTATGTGAGTTAATTATTATTGCATATATTTTTTGTGGAACCAATATTCACGAATATTAAAAATATGTTTGAAATCTTGATTAAAAGTATTTATGTTCAATTGGGCAGTTAATTCGATCTCTATGTATATACAAACTATGTAGTTTTAATACAAATGACGATTCAATCAAATTGACGAGTCTATGATTGATCCAGCAACAAATCGGTAAGCCTAATTCGTCTTTTTTATATTCAATTGACCATTATACTATACAGCTAGTCACGTTATACTATGAAGTAAACATCCTGCGCCAGTTGAATTATCTTTATAATGAGCATCGAATGACACGTTTGATCAGACTAAAAGTGCAGTTTTCACTTGAGAAACCCATTCGATTATGCTGAGTTACGCTACATTATGCAAAGAAGTTTTGTACTATGTATATAATATGTACATATATGTGTCCTATATGTATATTAATTCGTAATATATATATAACAAGGTAAATCGCGGTGCAACTATAAAGAATACCATGAGCCAGCGGTTGACATTGTCTGTGATAAATTTGTTATATGTAATCGGTCAAAGGACATCAAGTATCAACGCACAAACAGATAATTTTGCAGATCTACATCAACACGCAAACAAAGGTTCGCCTAGAGAGACATATGTCACGACATCACGACTTCAAGAATCAGTGAATAACAAGTGAATACATACGGACAGATATTTAAATGACTTGCAGTTGAATCATCAAAGACATACGTGAGTAATGTTAGAGTTTTAAGCACTAGGTCATAATACTATTTGCAAATTGACAAAACATCACATGTGGTGAATGTAAGTCGTTTATGTCGTGCGTTCGTGAACAAATATTGAAATGCCATAGTCGTACAGCACTGCTTTCAATTTCCCAGCAAACAAATATATTTGACATGCGTTGTATGCGACATATATCGAACACAACCGATGCGCTGTGGCGACTGCGGTACCTTCCTATAAAAAACAACAAGAAAACAACAGCAACAATGCATTCCAATTCATGTGAGCGACCTTAAGTGTCAAAAACATATGACGTCACAAATCAGCATCCTTGATCCATATTGCCGTTGCTAAAATAATCCCCAAAGAAGATTCCGCTTCACCGTAAGTGTATTAAAGTATAGATTTGTTCGTGTTCTTTATAGTCAATAAAATCGCTTATATTAAATTGTTGACTGTGTGCTGATATTGATCGCTCCAAAAAAAAAATAATTCTTTGAATTGGCACTTATATCTAAGAGTTATACATCGTAGTACTTTGCGCACGAGGACGAGAGTGGGAAAAAGAGGGAATCTTTGATATATTATTGAGAAAATACCTGTATTGAAATTTTCTCCAACATTGCTTGATTTTCGTTTTCAGAGTAAATGTCATTGTAATTTAATATACCCGCTGTGAGATTTGGTTACGCCTAATTAATTTGGTAATCACTGAACATTTGTTCGAAATTAACACTCCGGTCTGAAAAATGTACATCATGCATGACCTTGTAGTCTGACCTTTTTTCATTCTTATTTATTCATTCTCTGGTGAATCGTGATGTTTAATAAAGAATAAAATACCCGTTCAGGTTTTAATCCGGTGATTGTAGTTGGTTTCATTATATAAAAAAAAAACGTTCAGGCACGCTGGAATAGAGTAAATCAACCGGATAGAAAATATTCTAGTAAGAATTGATCTACAAACCCGATCACAGTTTTTTAAAGTCTACACTATGGCTAATTTATATTATGGGGACGAGTTAGGTATCCATTCAATTTGATCACGGATCAGTTCCCGATGTCATAAACACTTCTTAGCTTCTTTCGGGTAAATAGTATTTTGGCAGTAGTATTATTTTGTCTACGTTTACATTAACGTAAATCAGTGAGGACGTTGGGTAGTTTATTCTGTAATAGTTTCTTGTTAGCAGCAACGTTGGTATATGTAACTTTGTCGTCATCGACATCATTTAAAATAAAATACAGACGTCGATTATTGCCACACACCCGATAACGTTTCGAGAGCCGACAAATCTTCCGGTTCACGAATGGGCCACTGCAGACTGTTTGGAATACTTCTGATAAAATTAATTTTCTCATGTAATGTTTTTAACCCCAAAAATCCGAGGGCCGCAATGTTATTTAACCGCGGCTTGCATAATTAAAAACACGCTCTCCGTCCATAAAAAACTGAATATAAAAACCGAATTGTTCGTTGTATATACCAGTACACACAATAAAAAAGTTCATACCATGTCAATTGCTAAATTAAATTGAAAAACTTGCCTCTTCATTTACAATATCGATTATATACTCAAACTATTTCTAATAAGAATACTAACCAACAGACGGAAAAGATACTAAATGAATCAACGGGACAGTGAAAATAGCACAAATAAACTGGCGTAAGATATGTGCAAAGACATAAATTTAGTTTATTTAATTTATATTACGAGTATAATCTTACCGACTGAATACAAACATTTATGGTCAACATTAGTATTGCACAATAACCAATATATATAATATATTGAATGGGCCACTATTTATATAAACGCAACACAAAACAGGAGATGTATTGACATGAGCTGACAGTACTCATTATAGACGCGCATAAAAGTCAGAGACTTTAATCGGTGAGGCATAACAAAACACCCTGAAAGCTAGAATGATAACTTGTGTTTTTTTTCGGAATACATAATTGATTTTATATTGTAATAATACCCAAGGCATTTTGCGTCTCACTTTCATTGTAGCGAAGTAAAGACGCAATCATCCATACACACTTGTACAGCCTTGGATCGATTCTTAGAGTAGCTTGTGGGAGCCAAATGAATTCACATTACGTAACGGGCGAGAATGAATGCCAATTTAGAAGTTGTCAACAATACATTTGATACGTCGGGTTACAATGAAGTACATCGCCTTAGAATATTTCTCTGTTTCTAAGATGTTATCAAATTCCTGTAGGAGGGAGACATTGAGGTATCGATCTACTTTTAATATGTGTTAATGTATAGGCATATTACATGTTACATAAAGAAGTGTTAATCTCATCTACACACTCGAACAAAATGCAGTTACGGATCTAAGCCGTATTGATATGAATACAGTACGAGTGTTCTGCCCGGTGCACACCGTTCAGGTAATAGGGAATGCGTGGGTACAAAATATTGCATGATTCAATTCTCGAAGACGTGAACTAGGAGATCTCTTATAACATTCTATAATCACCAACGATCAACCAATGCATCATAAAAAACAGGGTTTCATCTATATGATCAGCAGAAACATAGATTAGGTATACACTTGCAACCGGTAAATACACCATTTGCCACATTGCAGAAACAAATATTTAAATAAGTTTAACTTATATAGAACATTCGACATCTCTCAAAATATAATTACTTATTCAGTTGAGTAACATTTGTAAATGTTGATAGTCCTTCCTTTTTGAATCTATTTGATAATCGGGAAACGTATATAGATTCCACTAACCACACAAGCAAGTTAATTTAGGTTGATAACCACACGGTGTTCATATACCGCAATGAATTGACGATATGAATTGAGCACTATGAATGAATCAATGCTGCCCGGAATCTAAAAGTCAACATGATTTACCGGTAAATTAAATTGTTCGATGAGCGCGGTGGATGGAAAAGCGACTCAGGTGATGTAAATACAGCACAAGGCGTGTATGTAATATTCGAATGAAGCACAGTGCTGCAAGAAATAAAGTAAAACTTATACATAGTGATATACTTACACATTGTCTCGCCGAGAAACCACGGTCTGTATACATAAGTCTCGAGCAGCGCAACCGGCATGCATATTACGATTACCATGAGATCGGCGATGCTAAGATTGACCAGAAAGAAGTTGGTTGACGCTCTCATGTCCGTATTTTTCCACACCACTATGCAAACAAGCCCATTACCGGCAATACCGAAGATGAAAATTATCACAAACGAAACAGTTGTTATGACTAGGCTCGTTAACGGCAATCGTATCACGGGAGCGAAACCGGTATGGTATGAAACATTACCGTCAATGGTCTGGTTTTCCTGCCATGTCAGGTTCAATATATCAGGCAGTACGCCGGTTTCCATAGTGGAAGTGAATGAAACTAGAATCGGTCTGTGTTATCTGTTACTAATGAAGATGGCAATGGGATGGCAAAGAAATGCAAAACGGTTTGTCCGCGTCATCCGATTGAGCAAATGATCAGTGGCAGTAAACGCTCACTGCTATACATGCATGCGCTGTACGACGCATGTGCAAATAACTAAAAGTGTCTGGCAATTACGCACGGGATGTAACCCAATGAGACACTGCGAAATAATATGACATGCCTCTTCCTCTGCCGATTGTTTGCACCAGTGTTACGTTTCAAGTTACACAATATCTGTGGAATAGGTATGAATGTCATTAGCGAAGATATTATCAATTGTCGATTTATCCAATGTTGTAAACAAAGACATGGAATATGTTTTCAGGTATAAATGGGTCTACCAAATATGTGATGCAGATTATCATGTCTATTAAATGCTACATGACGCTGAAATGGTCGAAATATTTTAACTTAGGATGAATGAAATCGGAGGCAGATTGATACTTGATTCGTGATGAAGTTTAGGACAAATAAATCGCTAGGTTTTTTTTCTGATAGACTGAAAGATTGATTTTCCACACAGAGTGTAATACGATTCAGTATTGTGGACCACACGAATATGACCTGAATTGTTCGTTGAATAAATGCTAATGCGATGCCCTTTCTGTTTCATCAAATAATGGAATCGACTGCGTCTCGCACACTATTTACGCACGTTCCCGTTCATGTCCTGCAATCTCATGATAATGAAAGTGTGGAGTTCCTTAATCAGGTTAGGGTGACAACATCATAGTGACAACACATGTGCCGTTCAAAAGCCTTTTTATTGGTTGGTTCCGCAGCTGTGTTCGTTTTTTTATGAATACTATCACTATTATTAATATTAAAAATGCAGGGGTATTAATTTATCAATAAAGTTTTATTATCGCTAATTTTCAATATTTTTTCCTTCCCAAATGTTGGTTCTTCGTAAATCTTATCTTTTTATCGTCAAGTCATAGACATTTTGACAAAATTTGATTGCTTTTGGACTTGATGTTTTTTTGCACGGTAACATAAAAGCGATAACACTTATTTATCAATATCACATTTTGTGAAGAAAAAAGTTCAAAACGAGGAGAACAATTTGGTTTTCCACATAAAGTTAATGAGATAGGAAAATGCATCTTTAATTCAAGTAAAATAATTCCTTTCCAAGATAAATTTTATCTTTTATGGGTATAGAGTACATGTAAGTACTAAAACTATAGTACACCCTTTATTATTAATATTTAAAAAAAATAGGCAAACAATAGTACACAAAAATAAATATGGATTTGTTGAAAACAATTACTATAATTACAAATACTGTGACATTATATCTGATTTGTATTGGGAATTGCAAATCCAGGCAAAACCGCATTTTAATTGTAAACACATATTTGTTTAGATAACTCAGGACAAGTTGTCTGTCGCCAAGTGTATGGTTAACGATTACAGTTAGAGTTGTTCAAGAACGCAGGAGAGTCCACGCCTTGCAAAAGTCTCAATGTTCCCACGTTATGCCGCGCATGCGCACATGATTGTTTAGAATCACCTGCCAGCTTTGGAGATAACCGTGATGTTTTTGGATAGGTTGACTACGTTTCTGTAAGTAAGTTATTTGTTTGTTAATCTGCATGATAAACAAATCAAATATCTAGATTGGGATCAAAATTTGTATGCAAAATAGATATTTATTATGCATGGATTACAAATAATAAATCTTCCATGGATGCTCATAAAGTTTCACTAAAGTCCGTTGAGGAATGAACAAAACCGCTCTGCATACTATCTTAAAATATGTTTATGTACCAAGTTTCGCTGAAATAATCATATTTTAAGCCAATCAATATCGGATATCAGCAAGCAATAGTATAGATTAACATACTATTAAATATGTTTACTTGAATAAATTAAATCGAAATAATCAAAATAATGTGCACCGTGATCGAATCATCGCTTTCATTATTATTATTGCAGTGTACTAGTTGAATTTGTTTGTCATGCGGTAACTTATACATATTTCTTTCCATTACTCAACCTTGACCCGTTATTAGGTTCTTATTGCGCTTTTGAATAATTCTGGCTGAGGGCCTCAGCTACACCGACGATGAGCCGAATGATCTGCGAACTGAAACATCGACGCTGTGCATTTTGGTTAATTTTCCATTCAGTTTATATATATATTCTACCAAGATGAGAATCTCGCTACATTTAATGAGAACGTATATGTACTTGTCGCTTTATCTTGTAATAGCAGCAATATTCATTAATCTGGTATATCAATTTGCTTGATTTAGCTGACGTAAGATGATCAACACAGTTTGTCATTGGTAAACAGCATAGTGAGTGAACCATGAACGCTGTAAATTTTTCGTCAATAAATAATAGTTGAAATTTAGGGTAATGTAACGTTGCTGAAGAATTTGTCCATACTTTTATGTATATTAATTCTTTTGTGGATATGTTGGTTACAATTGATATTTTATACTTGAAAATTACAAGGGCAATTGATTTAATATGTTCTGGTGAAACAACGAAGCTCTTTTGTCCTTCAAAAATTGGTTTATTATTTTCGAGTCATGAAAAGGTCTTTGAGTTGCATGACATCATGTCCTAGCAATCGTGACCACGTTCATTGTTAAAAGTTCAACCATGCTCGGAAGAGCGTTTTATCGTGGCATGAAACTAATAATAGCATGGCGCAGATTAGCATATGTAAGCAAGAGTGGATTTCTCGCTTTTTCGCTGGTTGGACATGTCAGAGTGACCTTAATACAAGCACACTTTTATAGATCAACACTTATCGCACATATGAGGTCGGCGTGTTCCTCGTTACCATGCCAACGTCTATAGCAACCAACGGTAGAATAAAATAACATTTTAGTGAAAATAAACATTAAATACCATATATATATATGTATGTTCTTGACCAATACAATTTATACTTCGAATATGTCCTTTTGTTGACAGTTTGATGGGTGTCCCTAGAAACCACTGATATATCTATAGCCTTACTCCCAATCCGATCATGTTATTGGAAATTTAGATTAAATAATAAATGAAATAAATACGGACTAATGATGCAAAGTTTTTGCCTTGCAATACAGATAATGCAATAATGTATCTAAATATATTGCCACGGTTTAGACTTGAGCAATCCTGACCACAATAAATAATCATAATTACATAAACAAATTATTTATATTCATGCTCTTCAAATACTACGACATGTACTGTATTAATCTCATTTTCCCTTACAAAATTTGACAACAACATTCTAGCTGTGTTCCTCAATTAATACATGTACTATATTAACCGGAACGTTCCGTGTGGAATAATATAATATAAATAGTATGAAAATTGAAGCACAAATTAAGTCCTCAAATAACAGTGCAGTAATATATATATATATATATATAGACACAAATTGACAGAAAAAAATTCTAGCCAAGGTGTTTCACAAATAATAAATGTGCTGTATTAATCTGAATGTTTTTTATAGAATAAAATAACATAAATTGTATAAAAATATCCGAATAATAGTGCAGTAATAGAATACCAGCTAGATTTGTTTTTAAAAAGCGAGAAAACTACACAACAACATATCAGTTTACTACACGTAGGTATCTCTGAGGGCATTAATGACATCAGCTTCCCATTATTAGCTGTCTACATTCTTGTTCACTTATTTCTACTTCTAACAAATGATTTATTTCATCCACAAATTACACTTGAATTTGAACTTGGCTGATCCTTTAATATGATTTATAAGATTCCAAAATTTGAAGATGATCAAATAAAAGGTATTGTTAAAATTTTCACTGAAATTCAACAAATATCTCGAAAAACAAACAAACAAATAATACGACAAAAAATCGAACTCGGCCGAGATCTCAAACTGGTTAATATAATATCTTAAAATAATAATGGTTTTAGTTATTAAAAGCACACAAAAGTACGATGAAATCAGCATCAACAGCAGACTATTTTCCAAGTGGTCAATAGTATTACAAGAATTTGTCCGCATATTGCCTCACTAAACTTAGAAACACAGGCACTATTATTAGTTGAGTATTAAGCATGGACATGTAAATGGTTAGGAAACCCCTATAGTATCAATATGCATAAAGTATTTATCCTAACATAACATTGCTCAGCTCCCGCATGATGTTCTGTCATCAAAATATAAAAAATGCATTGGTGACTCCATGACGTGGTGAACATCTCAAGTGATTGCACGCAATATAAACGTTATTTGAATATAAAAATGTTCAATTATACGGGGAGTTTGTCGTCTATTTATCTAGCTCACTCGGTTACTATCGTGCTGCATCGTTCGTTGTCGGATAAATATCCTATCACGGACTATTAGTGACATGTTCGTAGGTTGTTCTTTTTTTCTGACATTCATCGTCCATAAGGCCGCCGTTCTTCTTGCAATGCAAATACGTGAGAAGAAAATTCCGCTGCCCATTGCCGCAATGTAAATAGGTATTTTGATTGAATTCAATATAATATAGGTTACATGATTAACTTGATAAAAAAATACTTTCTCACTTGGTTAAATGAGCTTATAGATGACAAAAATGAAATTATGACTTGTCACGTTACATACATATTCATAGCTTCGTTGTTGGAGTTCAAATCATGTGACAAAGTACGAATTAGTTAATTGCCATGTCTAATCTTAGACGGTAATTGGTATATTTTAAAAACGCAGTTAACAAAGATAATAGTTTAAACAGTAAGTTACATGGTGATAGCCGCACAATTAGATAGCTTTAATTGCACACTAATAGTTCCCTGACCTAGATATCTACGATTATCTTAATAGAGTAATTACATTTCCTTGTATTGGGCGTATAATCTCGCAGCACTCTCGCGATTTGCTAAATTACGAGTGATTATGATGACCACCGTGGCCTGTTTAATGTAATTGGGGGCAATTACTCTACGGATGTATTCTCTCCTACC